AGCTCAGGTAAAGCATGTGAGGTCCTGGGCTCAATTCCCAGCATTTCCATAATTTCTTATAATGAGAAAAACCCTGAACCCCTCAAAGTGGCCCATCTTATGCCTGCTGCCATCTGCGCTCTAGGATTTGAATAAATGCAGGGGACAATTTTTGTTTTAATATGCAAATTGCAGTGATAGATTTTATGCTGCTATCATATCAGGTCTGCAACTAGCGATTATTTTGTATATTGATTAAAAATCTCATAGCAAAAGGTTCATTAAGGAAGATTTTTTACAGAATTAAAGTGTAACTAACACTTTTCCACTTGAGGTGTTCTGTATAGAGAATATTGACGGATGAAAACATTTTGTCTTTTTCCCCCCATAATTGCAGACTACTTAGATATATTTTTTTATGATTTTGATATAATTACTGCACTAAGTGTGTTTCTCTTTCAGCTAAAGGTCAATTTTAGAGTCTCTAAACTCCAGTTAACGATTCATGATCAGTAAATTAGTTGATTAATTTAATGATTAATCACGATAATATGATAAATAGTTTCAGTCCCATATCCTAACTATTATCATTGTTAAGTGTAAATGCTGAGCTGCATGAATAATTATATTCAAATGTAATAACATGAGTATCACTGAAAACCAAACTTATTGAATGAATGTTTATGATTTGTTTTTCTAATTTCCTGAATAGTTCTACTTTAGGAAACACAAAATCTTTAAAGCAGCAAATTAAAATCAACAAATCTAAAACTCAAATATGATCAAATCAAAGCTGTAAAACATTTAGTAAATTCCTAATGACAATACCCTGCATTTAGCAGCATATTATCTGCTTTCTATGTTCATTATGTATATCTAATCTAATTTAATTAGTACCAGTTTTAAAGGCAGTTTTCAATCAAATTTAAGATGTATATAATTATGTTTGTGTGTGTGTGTGTGTGTGTTTATATGTCCCACCTTTGGGTCCATAGGTTTTGTGGAAAACTTGTCTCTTCTTTCTCCATGTTCATCATAGAGCAACACCACTCTGTCCACATTGCAAACAGCAAACTTGCTGTTGTTTGGTGCCCAGGCCATGCATGTGACTTTGGCTGCACCATCCTATGTAAAGCAAATATTACAAAAAATAAAATACTTAAATACTGGATTTTATTATAATAAAAAATTCTGATATTAAACATCAAATCTGTTTACTTTTTTAAGCACTCAGAGTTATGCCAAACTATAAAACAAATGGTATTCAACTAGATTGTTGATTTGTTGATCTTGATTGACACAGTGGAGAAATTCACTGGTTACTTCAGCTCAATTAGTCAAAAAGGGAAGATGCTAGCTACATTTTAGCAGATTAAAATGACTTTTATATCTAAATAACGCAGCAAAAATATAAATATAAGCTATGGTGTAAAATTACACCCACACAGAACAATTAAAGCTAATAAAATAAAATAAAATTTCATTTTACAACTGTAGCTAAGAGCTAGCCTGACTTTTTAACTGGTCTTCAGCAGCTGCTAGCGTTAGCTACCCGGCCCGTTTCCCAAACTTACCTGCGGGGTGAGAAGACTCTTAATATGTTTCAACTGCATCCTGTAAAACAAACACAAAGGAAGCCCAGTGGGAGGTTCTAGAAGCGAAGAAAAGGATTTAGAGCTCGGTCATTTCAGCTCCAGCCCCGCAGCATCAGCAGCTAGCAAGGAGGACATCTTTGAGGTAAACAGAACTGTGATCTCCTTAGTTACCGCTAAGGGCGGGGTCTCGTGGTGCATTTACGGAAGGCAGGAAATTATTAGATTTTTCAATGCAGAGGATTTTTCTGCTTTTTTTCGTTTCTAAATATGCGTGTAATGACCAGGTTTGTGTATACGAAATAAAGGGGACTTATTTTATTATATTATTATAATTCTTAATATGTAGTGCTAATGTGTAACTTTTACATCCTGTTTGTAAAAAGGAGCACTACTGCAGGTCATTCATCCCTGCTGCCATCATACTCTACAATGCGACACTGCAACGACAATAACTTGTACAATGTTTAATGTACATTTACAATTTAATACACTGTGCAATAACCTGTTTCTTTATATCTGGCACACAGTGCAATATGTATATATGAATATCCAGCTATATAAATACCAACGTAAACGCCATGTGCAAAAACTACGGAAGAGGATTAGGGCCATAAAATGTTTTTTTAATATTATTTCCATTTATTATGGGAAAAAAGTCAGAATTCTGACTTTTTTTCTCAGAATTCTAACTTCTTTTCCCATATTAAACTGAAATAAAATTAAAAAAATCAATTAACTTTTTTTATATTTTCAGTGGCCCTAATCCCCTTCGTTAAAAAAAACTTGTATGATAATCCTGCTATTAAAAAACAAAAAAAAGCTGTCATGTGTGGACGCACTGTATATACCGTATATATCGCATGCATCTTTTTCTTCCGTTGGCACTTTCTTCTTCTCTTTTTGACTATTTCACCTGATGTAGCACTAAATTTCTCCACTGTGATATCAATAAAACCAATCAATCAATTAATCAATCAATACTTTTGTTTCTATAATCAAAAGTAAAGGATTAATCAGGTTTCCCTGTCGAATACCTCTTTTTATAAAATCTCCTTGTAGTTCCTGAATGAAGTAACACAGAGCTTGTTATATCTTTACACAATGTCGAGATCATATTTAAAAACCTGTCCCCAAAATACAAAATGCTGTAATGACTGTAAACTGAAGGGAAGTTCAATCCTATCAAAAGATTTAAAGAAATCCAATAAAAAATGTTACCTTGATCCTTAACCAGATGTTTAAAATCTAAAAAATCTAAAACATAATGGATGTTGTTATGTATTAACATAGCCAGTCCGAGTTTCACTTATGATTCTATGAGTTCAACTTTTAAGACTATTGGCCAAGGCATATCTAAGAATCTTATAGCCTATGTGGAGTAAAGTAATTCGTCTTAATTTATAAATAATTGTTTTATCTTTGTTTGGTTTTGTTATTAAGATTATCAGTCCTTGTGTTATTGCTGTTAATAGTTTCTTAATATGTAAAAATTATTTCAGGACCACATTAAGTAATTATCTTAGATCAGACCAGAAACTGTTAACGTTTACATTTAAACCATCTTGTCCTTGTGATATAGCTGCAGATTTACCCACCGCTGCATCCAGCTCCTCGTTTTTCAAATTGGAGTCAAAAATAATTTTCAAATCAGAATAAATCTGTTTGATAAATGGTTTATCTGTTTGATAAAAGGTAGTTAGAATTATGTTTTAGAGGGCTCTGAATAGAATCAATTTTGATGCACATATCTCATTAGATTAATATACGAAGTCACTGAGGTGGAAAGGTTTAAAGAACAAATGGCGAAAAAGAAAAACCTTATTGGAGATGCCGGGGATTGAACCCGGGGCCTCATACATGCAAAGCATGCGCTCTACCACTGAGCTACATCCCCTTCCATGGCGATAACATTGAATGCTATGTATTTAAAGCCAAACCTCGTCCTAGCCAGTTAGTGTAGGACGTATCTTTCATTTTTCAGAAATGTGAAATAATGCTGAGAACCGTATCCACAATTGACTTATTTATTTTTTTAGATGTTTAATGTAGTACGTTGCTTTTGGCTACCCGAAAGTTAAAAGTATGTAGCTTTACATTAGTTAAAGCCTGAAATTGCACAACAAAATATTGTTCTTCCTTTTAAAGTGCCTTGAGTCTTTCTAGCAGCTCGTTTTACCAATGTACGGCTTTTGACGCAGAAATCAGATAGCCAAATCATTACAGAAAAAAATTACGACGTTGAAAAAAGGCTGGTTTACGGTGACGTCACAAAGGAAACCAGTAAACGACCCTTTCAAACTAAAATTTAGGCTGTGCAGACTGGATGACTGAGAATCTTCACCGCCATATTTCACCGTTAAACCAAAAATAAATAGATAAATAAATAAATAAACATGTATGCATTGCGTTAGTACGGAAGAGGATTAGTGCCACTTAAATTTGAGAAAAAAAAAAATTCTGACAAACATGTTAGCATCAAGCCGTTGCCATGTCTGCTTTAGAGACTAAACTAGCTCTCTTGTTTTAATCACCCTCTGCTCTTCCATTAATAAAAAATCATCACCGGGGACCCCTCTGGCACATAAAAAGTTGCCTAAATTGTCATTTTCCATCAAAGTGTTACTGGCCCTCCCAAACTCACATCTTTGTCAGTGAAGCTGAGTGCTCCCACATTGCTTCCTTCATGGTGCCCATCTACATTAAGATCCAAAATTCTGAGATTAAAGAAAAAATTCTGAGAAAAAAAAAAATCAGAATTCTGAGATAAAAATCAGAATTCTGATTACAAAAAAAGTCCGAATTCTGAGATTGAAGTCAGAATTCTGAGATAAAAGTCAGAATTCTGACATAAAAATCAGAATTCTAAAAAAGAAAAGTCAGAATTCTGAGATTTAAGTCAGAACTCTGAGATGAAAGTCAGAAATCTGACTTTTTTTCTCATATTATATTGAAATAAAATTTAAAAATCAGTTAACTTTTAACTTTGGCCCTAATCCTCTTTTTTACATTGGTAAAGTGACGTAACGTAAAAGATATTGCTGCATAGTATTTGAAAATTGCTACTCTCATAAAAGGAAACAATATAAATTAAGTCAAATGCTTTCATTCTTGAAAGTATTTTTTTATGTTATTTAATATCGGTGACATTTAATGATTCCAGATTTCATCCATCAGCTCGGCAACCTATAATGTCTAACTCAAACAAGCATTATTTGTCAAGCACTTCTCTTAATAAGTGATTTACCTTCCCCTTTCCCAAAAGGAATTAAGATGTTGCATAGAGTTGAAGATAATATTTTAATTTATCGTTTCAGTTTTTTTCCCCAGTATATTTGTATTTTTTTTTTTATTTTATTTTGAAAATTATTACCGGAAGCTACAATTCCTGTTTGCGTCAAACATTCGGGTCCACACCGCGGGCCGACTTCCACGCTGCTGGCGGCGCGCGTGGAACACTTTTCTGTCATCCTTCCGGCCCCTTTAACCGCCAAACTTTCTAAACTACGCTTTCTGTGTTGTTTTTTTCGTCTTATTGGGTCAGAACAGACAAAATAGCACCTAGCTAACATTTTTGACTCTTAAAGCTGCTCTTTTTTCTGTTTTTTGAGCATCATTTCCATCTGGCGCGTTGCGTCGGCAAAGCTTCACGTGGGGACCTTTCTTTTAAACAGAGAACCGGTGGTTTGGTTAGCTTTGGCTCATTAAAGGGAAAACATGGCAACTATGGCGACTTTGATCCTGGAAGATGGAGAAAGATTTAGGGGCCGACTTTTCGGTGCAAATGTGTCTATTTCAGGGGAAGTAGGTGAGTAGTTTAAAATGCAAATTACCTGAAATTAATAATCATCAATTATTGTGTCCAATTAACAGACATAAATATCTGTTTACCCCCACCCCCCCATTGGTAGCAGCTCTGTCCATAGATCAAATAGGGCTATGATAACTTGTCTCTTTGTTATCTGTTGTCACATTCCTTTCAATCAATGTCACCTTAAAAAGATCTTAAGCATGCATGTCATTACTTGCTTAAATGTAATTACTTCCAAGTAAACCTGTGTAGGCTTAACAAAGACCAGGGAGGTCCAATTTAATAATTAGTCACAATTTAATCAACTGTTTGAGATTTTTCTTTAAGTAAGCAAGGCATCCCCATGGGAAACAGTTTATAAAACAATGGGCATCCCACCTTTTTGTTGGTATTTTAGCTTTTTATCCTTGTTATATACAAACATGTTTTTTTGTGTGTGACAAATGCAGTTTTTAAAGATCAACTAACCCTTTATTTGCCAATGAAACAGAAATAATCTTGTCAGAAGCAGCAGCTTTTTCTTTTACATCTCTTTCCTGAGATCCTATAGAGGTGTTCCAATGGATCTCCCTTTTATCTCCTTTTTCTTTGATTTTTTCTCCTTTTTTCTGTTTTTCCTTTCCCGTTCTACTTACATTGCAGTGTCCATATAATCTGTAATACTGCCTGCATGATTATAATAATATTTATATGGATAAATCAAGGGGAACACTATGGCGATAGCCGTATTGCTCCACTTGTGAAAGCAAAATCTGTTGGGCTCTCTTTTTTTGGCATCAAAACAATTATTCTTAGTGCCACATTGCCAGACAGGACACTGTTAAAAAAAAAAAGATTTTCATGTTATTGAAACTCAAAAAACCTGGATCCCTGCTTTATTTCTTTGCAGTCTAACCTTGTAGCATAGACCAGTATTTGGTCCACAAATACATGAGGATTTATGCTGATAAAGGTTCTCAGTCATCCAGGTCATAGTCATTCCGTAAAAATTAAAAAAATATCCACTGGACTTGTTTTTTTTTTTGGCATCAAGACAATTTTGAATTGAGAAAGCTTCCTAGAGAGGTGGCGAAACGTCTTCAAATCTTGGAAACCAAGTCCAGTGGATATTTTTTGAATTTTTACGGCATGAGGATTTACTTAAGAATTGGAAAATATATCTGCATCATTAAATCTGCTTTAACTGAACGTATAACAAAATTGCATTAAATGCTTTATATTACCAGTAAGTAGATTCTGAACTAAATCAAGCAAAGCTCAAAGTAAACTTAGGAAAAAGGTAGATTAGTAGTTCTGTTTTTTTTCAGTTAAGTATCTGTAATCTTCTATCTTCAGGTTTTCTTTTAAAAAATCTGCCATATTTCAGTATTCTATTGGGTTGAAAAATAATTGTATTTTTTAAACTTCATTCCCTATTCTATGCTTTATTTCCTTCCTAATGTACTTCTTCTCTCCTTTATGTCCTTATTGAGTGTCCTTACTTCTTTCTAGGGTTGCAACTAACGATTATTTTGCAAATCGATTAGTCTGTTGATTACTTTTTCAATCAATTGATTAATAATAAGGCAGCCAAAGATTCTTTATAATAGACTTTTTAGGGAATCAAACCAAGTGAAACTTAAACTTTTCCACTTGTGGAGTTCTGGATAGAGCGTATTGACAGATGGAAAATAAGAAATAGTCTTAAATGCCAAATGTTTGTATTATATATATATTTTTTTACATTCTTGGTAGAATTACTGCTCTAATCGTGTTTCTCTTTCAGCTAAAGGCACATTTTAGAGTCTCTATATTCCAGTTAATGATTGATCGAGTACTAAATTAGTTGACGATTATTTCAATAATCAATTAACCCAATTTATTATTTAATCCCTACTTCTTTCTAACACCGAGGGTTCATTTCTATATATTGTGTCACCTTCCTTCTTCCCATGCTGCCGTTATCCTTCTTTGCTCTTTACTCTTTTCATTCTACTCTTACTAATAAGTTATTTGGAGCCTTAGCATTTAATACTGTTAAAGACAATTACTTTTTTTTTTTCCTTTTTTCTTTTCTCCTGTATCAAACTAAGCAGGGGTATCCAAAGTCAGTCCTTAAGGGCTCCTGGATCCTGCAGGTTTTGCTCTCAATTCAGATGATTAAAGTTCATCAAAAGCCTCTTAATCAGCTATCTTCTGAAGTCAGATCTGCAGAGCCTGAGATAAATCTAAAATATGCAGACTGGAGTGGGACCCCTGACCTTAAGCAAAGAGAATGTATGTTCATTTCTGTCTACTTTAGTTCAGAAAGCAGATAGAAATCCATTAATTTGTCAAATCCTTTTGGTTTTGCTTTAAATTCTCATATATTCTGCATGAAGCTGTATGGCAAACCTAATACCACTTAAAAAACTGGACTTAAATCAGTAACAAAGCATCTAAAGATTGAACTTTAGAGGAACTATTTATCAGACTATGCTATAAGTTTGGTAGTAGCCTATTTGGCGCCGACCTGATCCAATACTTTGACCCTGTTCAGGGCGATGGGTGAGCTGGGCGAGGTTTTGTTTAACCGAGGAATGTTTTGTGTGTTTAGTGTTCCAGACTGGCATGGTGGGCTACCCTGAGGCTCTGACGGACCCCTCCTACCGCTGCCAGCTGCTGACGCTCACATACCCTCTCATTGGCAACTACGGAGTACCAAACGACAATGAAGGAGAGTTTGGACTTAGCCAGGTAAGGACTTTGTAAAATCTAAATATAATGAGGCGTAATAAATCAAAAAATCTGAAGTGGACTAAACACTATTTAACAGTTGTTTCTCACACTGTTCTCCTCAGTGGTTTGAATCTTCCAAGATTCACGCTGCAGCTCTGATTATTGGAGAGTTGTCGGAGAATCCGAGTCACTGGAGTTCAGTGAAGTCCCTGGACCAGTGGCTCAAAGAGCATGGCGTCCCAGGGTTACAAGGTCAGAAAAGCTTCATTTGAAGAGACTTGCCTTAATCTGAAACACACGTTGACTTTGTTTTCCTCGTTTGAAGGCATCGACACTCGCTGTCTGACTAAGAAGATCAGAGAGAAGGGAACCATGTTGGGGAAACTGGTTGTAGATGGGACTCCTGAGGACAGTGTTCCCTTTGATAATCCAGACCAGAGGAACCTTGTCCAGGAAGTGTCTATGAAGGTAACCATCCAGATTATTAACATTTATAATAAAGGCTACGATAATCTTCATCAGTGTATGAGATACTTGTAGTTAACATGGATAAATAAACTTAAAATTATCAAGTTCACTGAGGTTGCACTCCCTTGTTTTTGGCTAATTAAGTTTTGCACCAGTCTCATGGATCAGTGTTTTTCCAGAGTGTTAGCTTAGCTTCTACCCTACAAGTTTCCTAAACCACAGATTTCTACACAGCTTTGTTGATTGATGCATTAGCTGCCCTATCAGGTGCCATTAGACCAATGATCTGTTCACTGAATCTCCTACATCAGAGGTCACGGATTAGCACATCATGGTCCGGATCCTGGCCCACCTGCTGGCTAATCGGGACCCAACCTGATTTAAAACGTATATAAATTACCGCATGTTGTCCGAGGACGGTGTCTAACCCTGAATTCCCACATCCTCCGTCTCCGCTGCGTTCCAGACCTCCTGCACAAAGCAAAGCCTACAGCCTCCGCTGTTCCTCCCTTCCTGCTCCGCTCTTCCTTGGAGCTCAAGGAGAGCTAAGTTGCTAGCTTAGTGCTACAATAGGTCCTTAAACAATTAGAGGCAGCTAACGAGTCAGAACCCAGGGAACAGGACAGATCAGGTTAGAATGCAATGTTTTTATTCTCATAAAAACCAGTTTCTTAAGAAGCTAAAAATGCAGCAAAATGTTTTCTTTAAGTAATCTAAAATCAATAAAAAAAAAAAAAACTAAAAATGGGAGGCCTTCAGTCCAGGGTAATAGTGTCCTTATTTTTTATGTAAAATATACATAAAGGGCTGGAATCACAGCAGCAGAGTCCACAAAGGGAGTCAATTGCTTAGTTTCACCCCACAGCCGTCTCGAGGTTGGTCCAGCCACACCGCGTCCTTGCTGTGGTCCGCCCAAGCGCCTCCCGCTCGCCACTGGACTCAGATGCAGGGCAGAGTTTCACCTCTGCCCTGCTGCCAATCCAACACCTTGTTTTCCACTGCACTCTGTTCCTGCTGCAGAGACGATCCACGTTGTGCCAATCAGTATGGTTATACCTGGCGGTTACTTAGCCTTTCCTCCCACCACGCCTGGCTGTTATGGCCTGCTTCTTCCCCTCCTGTAGTGAGTTCTTCACCCTTTAAGTGTTCTGCCAGCTTCCTTTGGAAGGTCTGTGAAACAGCTGCCAAGCTGCTTCCAGGCACACCCACAACTTCACAGGTAATCATGTAATTTGTCCTCTCAGAGTCCACAGTGGATCAAAACAACACAACAATAAAACCATGCAATAAAACAAGAGAAATCATGCGCATATTTACATAATCACACTATCAAAATAAAACAAATTCCCACTGTGTTACACATGCACTATATTATTAATAAATTCAGGAGCAAAACGTGCGGAAATGAACGTTTAATTTAATGACATATTAAAAAAATCCATCCAGCATATGTTCAGTTTCTACCCAAATATTTTCATTTTGTTGTGGATTTTTCTAATGGGAATAACTAGGATCATACATGTTTTGTATGAACTATGTTTGTTC